TATAACATCCAGAGTGATCCTTTCAAGTCGGGTCTCTTCACACTCTGATCAGAACTCCCCAGTGGCTTCCTCTCCCTGGGAATAAAATCCTGAGTCCTTACTTTGTGTTTCCTCCAAGGCTGTAATCTCTGGCCTACGTTGCCTTTGATCTCTTCATTGTCTGGGACTCTTTCTCCCGTATTTGCTCTTTCTGTTTTGATCCCTTCTTGTCTCTCACAAAGCCCATGCACGGTCTCACCTTGGGGTTAACTTCCCTTTTCTCTCTGCTGGAACTCTCCTGGATATCCACTTGCTTGGCTTTCTCTTTTTATTGTAATCTGCCCAAATGTCACCTTGATGGAGAGGGCTTCTCTCGTCCTTATGTAAAATAGCAAACCCTGCAGCTGCCTTGTCTCTCCATCATTCTCTTAATCACTTTACTTCAAAGAACTTTTACCAAAGAACTTTTACCGACTTTTCCAGAAGAGGAAGTAGATATGCATTTCCCAGAACTCCTGAACTCTGATCTGGATGCAGTATCCAGATGAGACTTGAGAACTACATCCCCAGGAGAGGATTCATTGTGTTCTATATATGAGAATTAGTGCATATTAATATTTGGTCAGTAAAGAAATAGGCATGTCAGAGAATGTTAGTTGCCTATCAAAAGACTGTTTTTCTCAAATTGTCACATTTAGCTGCTTGTATTGTAACCAAGCTAAACACTCACCAACTCCTTTGCAGGTAGGTGTGGCTCTATGGTATTTGATGGCTGAAATGTGAGCAGAAGTGTTGAGTGGGTCTTCTGGGAGGTCCCCCTAAAGGAGAAGTTTGTTTCTGGGAATGGACAGGAAATGACTGGGTCACAGCCATTCTGGACCCCAGGAGAGGCAGAATGGTGTGCTGTCAGGGGTCTAGGTCTCTGAAGACTAACAGCGAAGCCCCTGTTTGCTCATACCTTTACTGACTCATGTGTTATCAAATTTTCTGGTCTTTCTAAGTAGATAAAATATGGTGTCTTGTGTTTTTCATTAGTGTTTTTCTTATGAGTTGAGCATCTTCTCAAATATTTAAGAGCCAGTTATGCTTCCTTTAGCCAATTTTTCTGTTGTAGTGTTGATTTTTTTCCATATTGATTTGTAGGCACTTTATATTTCAGGGAAATATCATATCTGTGATATGAGTCTTAGGTATTTTTCCCAGTCTGTCATTTATCTTTGCTTATGACCATTCTAGCAGTGTAGAAGTTTTTGAATTCTATTAATCAAATTGTTGACTTTTTAAAGTACCTTAAGAGTTTTATATCGTACTTGCAAAGTCTTTTTCTATCTTGAGATGAGAAAAAATATGTTCTCAAGTTTTTCTTTGGTATATGTTGTTTTATATTTTAATATTTTGTTTCATTTGTAATTTATAACTAAGACAGTTTCTCATTTTCCTTTACCATAACTTCTCTTTTTTTTTTAAATTGATGTTTAATCTAAATAATATTTAAATAATGTTGGAAAGGAAGGCTGTTTGTTATCTAGTACACTGAGTTTGAGCACTAATCTTCCCCACTCAGAGTTTGTTGTGTAACAACAGAGTGTGAACAATGTGATTGTTGAGTGCTGTCTTCTGAACACACTGTCATACATCAGAGAATTCACATCACTCGGAGGGCCTATGGGCTCTTATTATTAAATACTCAAGATGGAAATTGAAATTTTATCTTTATCAGATGTTTATGAAGTACATTTCTCATCTATTACACTCTGCCTGAAAACTACAACTTCTTTTAATGATCCTGTCTTACTACCTTGACTTCAGGTTCCAGGAAGGAGTTAGGATCAAATAGATCTTATCCAGAGTAGATAGGATCAACTAGAGAAGGTGTGGATGAAGTGGAATGAGAAAAGTTTTTAGTAATAAATTCTAAAAGGATCATATTAGTTTCTTGCGGGAGATATACTCTCTCTTGTCTTTGGGCCTCCATAAATACCCATTAATTCTTCCTCAATATTATTACTCCTGCTCCCATATACTTAGCTTTCTCGCCATTTTCTCTATTTTTTACTGCTATATCCCTAACACTTAGAATAGCGTGTGGCACATAGTGGGGTCTCAATATTCAGTAGGCAAAGAGGTAGTCATGGTATAGAATGTTAGTTGCCTACCAAAAATCCATTTTGTGCAGCCTCTGAAATTTCTGCCAAGCTCAGTTCTTTGGTCTCCCAGCAGCTGTTCTGTACTAGGCCCCCTGGAGTCTTGCCCTGTGCTTGTAACAGCGCAGGGCTAAGGATCCGAGAAGAGTTTCTATAAAGCTTCACTGGATGCATTTTTTAATGTGTGGTATATGCAAGAAACAGGTTCTGCTCTGATGTGAGCACTGTATGTGGGGGCGGTAGGTAGAGGTGGGTAAGTTAGGTGGAAACATAATGAGTAGAATGTCAGAGGAAAGAGTTCAAATGTCTTCTGATAGACAATAGAGAGCTATTATTTAGTTGAAAACTAAACTTGAAGAGCTACAAATGCATTTTATTAGAATTAAAAACTTTATGAAATGCTTTGTTCAACAAGTTTATGATTAAAAATTCTATAATAGTACATACTTACCATCTTTGAAGAACTCCTTACCCTATGATAGTATCTTTAACAGGACCATTCTCTAAAATTTAATGTTTTTCTTTTACTGTTTGGGTCTTCTGAGTAATATATTGAAGGAAGGTAAAACACCCAAGATTATGCTACTTACAGTTTTAGTTCTGATAGTAATGAATTGTTTAAATGCATAGATTAA